TCTCTCTCTCTCTCTCTCTCTCTCTCTCCTCTCTTTGTCTCTCTCCGACTTCTACCTGCATATAAGGAATTGAACTCTCATCTCTCATCTTCTGCTCCAGTGCTATGCCTGTCTGTGTCCCACAGCGATGATCAGGCACTAACTATCTAAAACTGTAAATAAGCCTCCAATTAAATGATTTTAGGAGTTGCCTTGGCCATAGTGTCTATCAAAGAAATACCAGGAACTAGGATACTGCTAGGTAAGCCTGACCAGGCTATTTGTAGAAAGAGTATGGAAGACTTTACGACTTTAGACTAAAAATGTAGTTGAATACTTAAATCAGGACTTGATGGTTCATCCTAGTAGAAGCATAGAAGATTAATAGTATAGAGGGCAATTTGGACTCTGGAAGTGTGGCTCCAGAGGTTTCAGAGGGGAACAGTATTAATAAGTGGATTACTAACCTCTCTTTTGATGGTTCGGCAAAGCGTGTGACTGTTCTTTGCCTTTGTCCTAAAAATCTATCTGAAGCTAAAAGAGATTTAAATTAATATCACTGGCAGAGATTTCAAGACAGCCTAGTAGTGACAGTATTATGTAGTTACTAATGATCATTCTTATGAAGATCTATAATGAAGAAGAACAAGCAGGCACAAAGAAATACAAAATGTACAGTTTGAAGAGAAAAAGAGCACCAGGAAATGTAATTCTGGAGCCAAGTCCTATACTCAAGAAGTAAAATGTGTAAAGAAAGGACTTATTCAAAATAGAATAAAGAGAGTTGTGTCCTCTGAGCAAGACCCAAGCAGCTAAGCTTCCAATTTATGAAAAGGAATTAAAGGAATGTTTAAGCAGCAAAGGAGTCTTTGGACAATAAAAAGCTTATGCAAATGCAATTCAAGGAGTGTGCCAGGTTCCAAAGCTAGTGAGCAGAATAACTAGGAAGCTTAGCCCTTGCTGTTCTAGATTTACATTCAAGAAAATACAGGAAAGGTTTTGCAGTAAAGAAAAGCTGCTGAGATCAGGCATATAACAGGGAAGGCCATGTATAGAGGCCCAAAGAGAATATTGCATGAAGGTGTAAGGTGAAGCAAAGTCTGGGTTGCGTTGTAGACTTCAAGATGCTGGAGAGGCCAGATCCATGTGATGCCTGTCAAGGATAGCTTCTAAGGATCTGTGGAATCATTCCACGAGAGATAAATGTGGTGTAGTCAACAAATCTGGAAGGAAAGGACCATTTAATAAATCTTTTAAGATCAGACCTGGCTGCAGAATGTGTCGTTTGCCCACTGGATGACGGCTTTGGTACAGTACTTCTTCCCTTCTGGGATGGTAGTATATATTCTGTGCCATTGTATACTGAAAATATTTTATTTGGTTTTTGCTTTTAATTTTACATGGAGCTTCAGTTAAGAGACTGCCTTAAGTCTCAGAAGAGATATTGAGATAGTAATGACACTGGAAAGACTATGGGGACTTTTGAAGTTGGACTGAATGCATTTTGTATTATATTATGGCTACTAGCCTATACGGACCAGGGAGTAGATGTCTAATAATTTGAATGAGGATGGATTCCATTCTCATTCAATTTATGCACATACATTTCTATATGGATCTCTAGTTAGTGGAACTGTTTAGTACGGTTTAGGGGTGGACTTTGTTGGAGAGGGTGTGCCTTTATTGGAGAAGTGTGTCACTGGGGGTGGTCTTTGAGGCTTCAAAACCCCATTCATGCCCAGTGTTTCTTTATAGAGACCTGCTACCTAAAGATAAGGATGTGAAGCTCTCAATTACTGCTCTACCTCCATACCTGTCTGTTTGTGCCCCATGATGATAATGGACTAACCCTATAAAACTGTAACCAAGTTCCCAACTCCCAAGTGTTGTCTTGGCCATTACAGCAATATAGCAGCAATTAAAACAGCAAGAAAACACATTTTAAAGCTCTATGTTCAATTCTCAGGCCTCTTAGGAATCAGACTCTGAGCATGACTAGTTCCCATTTCTGTGTCTCCAGACTACATCCCATTCCCTTCTCAGTTGCTCGTTTCATGCAACATTTGTGCTTTCAACCATATAAATCTGTCTCTTTGTGACTATTTTTCACTGAAAGAACTCAGTTTGAAATGAATTACATTCATTTTGTATTAAACTGGTTAAATACATATATGATATATATATTCATATATGTATATGAATATATATGTATATAAAATGATGTAGTTAACCAATTTACATTTTTCAATATGTAGAAATAAACACCAGGTTTCAATTGTATTTCTTCATTACTAAATCATGTACCTGTGAGAATTAGGACTTTTTTTTAATCACTATACATTATCCATAAACAAGCATAGGCATCACTTTGTCTATGACAGGAAAAGAAATGCATGAGTAACTCACCAGCTATTTAGTCCTCTCATGTGGCATAAGGCGTTCAACTGACCATAATTAATGGTTTTGCTCAGTCTCAGGCCTGCAAAATGAAATCAATTAAAAGTATGAGTAATTTTCTATTATCTTATTAAGCACGTATATAAGTGGTGTTTAATTGAAAACATTCATCACACTAAAAAAAAAATCCAGTGACCATGAAATGAGATATTGTATTCACAGTCTCTAATACACAAATGAAATCCAGTATGATAAGTAAGGTAAGTAGGAATTCATTTTTAAAATGTGTTTTGATCATATAGACAACTTATATATACCTCCTCCTCCCTGTCACCTTCATCTATCTCTCCCCCATGAACTTTATAGCTATTTATGTTTTCTTTATAACTATGGAGTTTAATTGGTATTGAACTCACGAGCATGGGTGTAGGACCATCCACTGAAGGCGAGCAACCAGGTAAGTCTTGAAAAAGAATGAGCTTCTCTACCCAAAAAAGCAATCAACTGTTTATAGCTATGAAACTATGAGTAGCCTCTTCAAACTCCATACCAAAATGCGTTTTGGCTTGATCTTTTACTGGTCTTGTACAAGATATTGTACAGGTAACCATAGCTGTTTTGACTTCATAAGTGTAGCTGTCCTGTCTTATTCATAAGACACTATTTTTCAGCAGTGTCCCTTATCCTCTGCCTGTGCCAACCTTCCTGTTTTTTCTTATGCATGTTTTTCAAGATGATGGGGAAGGGTTTGTGATATACATTCCACCTAGGGCTGAGTATCACAAAGTCACTTAGTTGGTATATATTGATATTTTATGGGGTCTCTTATTAAATACTTGTTCACATTTTTTAAAAGTTACTTTGACTAGGAATGTGAGCTATCCTAATCTTTTGGTATAAATCTAAGTACTTAGAAGGCACTTTGATACATCTATTTAGCAAACTCGTTTTCCCCTAGGATCTTTGGCCAGGCTTATAGTGCCAGATACGTGTTCACTCTTGTGAAATAGGCTTTATATCCAATTGAAAAATCATTGGATATCTCAGTGACCTTTATACTACTGATATGCTTGCCATGTCACTGGTTATTATAGCTCATAGGTTTCATAGCTGGATAAAACTGTTTGACAATTTTTTCTCCAGCTGCCTCCACAGAAATTTCTATCCCTATGAAAGCAAGCCAATAGGAAGAAAGCTTCCAAATTAGCACCAGGTCTGGTTTTCTATGATCTGTGATCAAAGTATGTAAGGTTTTCAAAACATAAAGTCTTACCATCAAGTCTGGTGAGCAACTAATAAGAATGTCAATACCCTGTATTGTTGGAGTGGGGGTGGGGACACATCTAACCAATAACTTGGAAGGAGACAGTGCTTAACAGGTAGGGAGATTTTTGACCTTTGGGAAAAGCACAATATTGCATTGTAAGGTAATGCTAATTAAAGTCTTTAAAATGTAATAAATATATGGATGTTTATAGTTATACATGGCTTTTTCAAACAGAGTTTAATTTTTGATCTAGAAGAAGGTTTAGCAATTTCTAATTGCCATAAAGAGTGAAATTGGTATGAATCATATTCATTTAATTTCTCTGGGATAAAAAAACATTTTTCAGAATTATTTGCCAAGATCTTTAACATCCAAACTGGTCTCAGAACTATGTTAGACGCATTTCAAAGAAAAGTTCTCTCGGTACCTTATATTTCTCCTTTCAGCTTCTCCCTCCTCCTGACCCTTTCTTCTCTCACACTTTCCTTATAAAGTCCTATCCATGCAGATCTACCCAGCTCCGTGCAAGATACTATTATTGATGCTCATTCTTCAGAGAATTCTCCAGCATGTAGAATCAATTGCCAATTGAGAAAAACACAAAAGACTACTTAAGAAACAAAAGTTCTGCTCACATCCAAGAAGCAAATTAACGGTGATTCTCTTTCAATGCCATGATTAGCAAACATCTTTCAAACAAGGCGATAAGTACAATGTGTGGTGGATGTCTTCAGAGTAAATGCACATCACTGATTACTCCAGAACAATCAATGTTGTTAGAACTGTTAGAATTGTTAAATGAAACACACTAATAAATACTAACTTATACATATTTCATTCCTTATTGAAAAGTTATTGAGAAAATAAGTTATTTAATGCACTTCTTAAGCTTTTTAAAAGTTATTCAATGACCATATTGTAATCATGAAGAATTGGTATGTACAAATGTATCGCATTCTAATTCAGAGTTACAGAATCATAAAACTGAGTTTTGTATGGGCCCTGGATGATTTTAAAATTATGCAGAACTGTTTTCTAAGTATAAAAATAAAATAAGGAATTCAAGCAGAAAATTTATTGCTATTTGAACATCATAGCTTTTACTAAATCTAGAATTACTATTCATATGATTTAGGCACTTCCCTACTAATATTTCTCAGATATACCTTAGCTGAAAAAAGACTGTGTGTTTTAGTTTTGGTGTCATATAGAATTACTTATTTCAAATTAAGCAAAATAAAACTTTAATATACATAAAATATTTGACATACTATTATTTCTGGTGTAAATGATATAAAATGTTGGTCATATTAGGTGTTTATGGATTAGGAAGAGACTTGCATTAAGTACACATTAATCCATTTTCCTAATGTGGTTGATGAGGAGGCTCAGTAACAACTCCAATGAGTGATATGTAAATGAGGGGCCTGCCATAGAGATTGAGGGAGAGAGCTTAAATTTGGGAAACTGACAACAAAATGCACACATGACACTAGGATCCGTTATCTTCATTATTCTTCAGTTAAGATAATTCACAAAAAAGAAGGAGGAGGAGAAGGAGGAGGAGGAGGAGGAGGAGGAGGAGGAGGAGGAGAGAAAAGATTTACCAAAAAAAGATTTTAAGAATAAGAGTTGCTGCTGTGAGTCTGACAGATACAGACACCACAGCCACTCTGGATGGAGCTTGTGGACTCTTATGGAAGAATAGGAGGAAGGACTGTAGTCCATAAGGGGATAGGAATTCCACAGGAAAACCAACAGAGTCAACTAACCTGGACCCGTGGGCTCTCAGAGTCTGAACCACCAAAGAACATACAGGGGCAGGACCAAGGACTCCCTGCATACATGTAGCAGATGTGCAGCTTTACCTTCATGTGGGTCTTAAACAACAGGAATGGGAGCTGTCACAAAAGCTGTTCCCTGCACATGGCTGCCTTGTTTGGCCTCAGTGAGAGTGAATCGCCTAGCCACCTGCTCAGAGAAGGGGAGTTGGGAGACATTAAGGATTGTGGGAGGGGGGTGACCTGAAAGGGGGAAGTGAGTAGGATGTAAAAATAAGTAAAAATAAAAAAAAATAAACAAGAAAAAAAAATAAACAAGACAAAACAGTAAGAGTGGCTTCCTCCCATGATTATTTTGTTCCTCCTTCTAAGTGGGATTGAAGCATCCTTACTTGGACCTTCCTCCTTATTTAAATTCTTTTGGGCCTGTGGGGTGTATATGGATATTCTGAACACTTTTGGCTAATATATCTACTTATTACTGTGTACATATCATGCATGTCCTCTTGGGTCTGGGCTACCTCACTAAGGATGATATTGTCTAGTTCTATCCACCTGGATGGGAGAGTGAAAGGTGAGGAAAATAGAGGAGCAAGAGGACGCATGTGGAGAAACAGTAGAGAGTCCAAGAGGACCAGGAGAATGAATGGAAATATGCAGCTGCTTGTGGTAGGAGGGAATTCTCTACGAAATCCTAGAGACCTGGGATAATGGAGGCTCCCAAGAGTCAATCCAGGGGACCTTAGTTGAAATGTCCGACAGTGGGGATATGAAACCTGAAGAGACCTTCTCCAGTACCCAGATGGGATCTAAATTGGAGAAATAAGAACACAAACTTACCTACAAATCTTTTGACACTAAATTGGTCCTGTCTAAAAGAAATGTAGAAACAAAGATAGACCAGAAATTGAAGGAATGGCTGACCAGTGACCAGCTCATTTTGAGACCTGTCCTATGAGCACGCACCAATCCCTCACACTATTAACGATGCTATGATGTGCCTGCAGACAGAAGCCTAACAAAGTAGCCCTCCAAGAGGCTCTACCTAGCACCTGACTGAGACAGATTCAGATACCCACAGAAAAACATTGGAAAAAGGTCAGGACCCCTATGAAAGAGTTAAGGGAAGGACTGAAGTTATAGGAAGACCAACAGTGTCAACTAACCTGGAATCCTGGGAGCTCCCAGAGACTGAGCCACCAACCATAGAGCATGCATGGGCTGGTCCAAGATTCCCATTACAAATGTAGCAGAGGGCTGCCATATCTGGACTCGGTGGGAGATGTGCCTAATCCTATAGAGACTTGAGGCACAGGGTAGGGAGGAGGATACAGGGTGTGAAAGCTGCATTCTCAGAAGTGAAGGGAAGGAGGAATGGGGGGAAGAACTCTACAAGTGAAAACAGGAGGAGGGGCAGCATGTGAGATGTATATTAATTAATTTAATTAATTAAAGAAAGAAAACAAACAGATATTTTTTAAAAGCATAAGAGTTGCTAGTAAATTCTACTTGTTTTTTCTAATAAATAAATAAATAAATAAATAAATAAATGCTTGCTTCTATGATAAAGAGCTACCAGGAGTCCAAGATTTCATTCTTAGCTTCTAACAACCCAGTAAGCTCAAAAACAGCATAGACTACAAAGCACTTACAGACTTATAGAACATTTAATTCATCAAAATATGTATTTGTTATTGAGTCTGTTCTTAGCAGTGTTTGTTACAAGAGTGTTTGTATGAAGAGTTTTATTCATTAGGTAGATGCTGTCTTTGAAAGTAGATTGCTTAAAAATAAAAAAGACTAAGTGTTTTGAGGTGAAACTACAACTATTGAAAAGGGCAGATGTTGATTTTTTTTTCTATTGATCAAATCAGAAATAAAATGTAAGTAAGAGAAACCTACAAAGTTCACATTTGTTTTCTATCCTTGATTTTCCCTCCTGAAATGCTTTAGCCCAGCTTTTGACAAGAGCAGCAGGGGCTGAACCTTAGAATGAGGTTAAAAATCAAAGGTTTTAACCAGAGGACATGTGAA